ACCTACAGGGTATTTAGAAAGGCTAGGGAGGAGCTTGCACAGAATTTGAGGAAAACAGAGTAAACATGAAGAGATGTTTTCTGCACTGCTCGTCCTACAGCCGAACTCTATGAGAGGCCTGAATTCTCACACTCTTGCCTTTGCTCTTGACTTTATGTAGTGGTTACTGTCCTTGTGAGCAAAATCCTGCATCAGATTCTGCAACCAAAGTACCAGGGGCTATGAGCCACCACCATTCTCAGAAGTGAGCTGGAGGAGCACAGGAGGCATCGAGCCATAGGATCTTGCTAACTCATTGCAATGGGAATAAAACATTATTTCCTTCCCATGTCCTACATGAGTGGCTATCCTAGTCCATAACAATGTCTCCACTTTCATCTCCTTCTGGGTTTTTCATGCTAAAGATACTCCAGGCAAACTGAAATTTTCCCAGAACTTCTAACTCACCATGCTCGGTTCAGCTCTACCTCAAGACTTCTGCCCCAGCTGTCATCTCTACCTGGAGCACATGGACTTCCCTGTCTCCCTGTGTCAAGGCTGACTCTTTTTCACTGTTTTTGTTTCCCTGATCACCTCAGGAAAATCAGCATCTCTCTCTCTGTCTCTCTCTCTCTCTCCTATCATCATCTAAATAGCTTTTGCTTGTTTCCTTGTTTACTGCCCCCTCATGTTGGAATACACATTCCCAGAGAACACAGCCATAGTGTACTGCCCTCACCTGTATTGCTAAGGCTTAGAGCTCTGCTTGGCACCGGCTGGGCACTACATAAGAAGCTGTCAAATGAATACATTGGTCCGTGTCAAACAGAGAGTGAGTGATCCAGGTAGATGGAAAAGGATTGACTCCACAAACCTCCATTCTTTTCAATCTGTTAGTTGCTTTTAGTTTTGTGTTTTTGACAAAGGGATTTAGCCAAAGTCATAAAAGACTGCTTCATCATTAGAAACCTATAAATCTATACTATTTGAGAGGGAAATATACATTGCAGACAAAGGAGATGAAACATCTGTTTTTACTTATCCCATGTAAAATAAAACCCATGTTATAAGGATTCAAGACATTCTACCTAATCACTTCTTAACATTTGTGTAGGAATTGGTGGGTTTTTCTTTTTCTTCAAAAATGCCATTTTAAAAGCACTAGGGAACTCGTTAGTTAAGTGTAGCCTGAAGCAAATTTTCCTATGTAGCAAATAATCCTGCCTTCATTTATGTTTTATAAGTTGAATGTTCTGCATTACAGGTTCCCTTCTTAGAATGAGTTCTAATAGGATGCAATTTTCCTAGCTGGTTGGACTTGACTTTGGGCTGAAACATAATGCAGTGACATAGGTGTGCACTGCTCCTTATACAAACACATCTTTTGGAACCCAATTCAGCAGAGAATAAGGCACTGCAGGATTAAAAAGAAGAAACCTAGCCATGTGGCTGTGGACATTTGTGCATTTGGCTTATCTATCTATCTATCTATCTATCTATCTATCTATCTATCTAGCTATCTCAGTAAGTGGGTAAATCTTATAGAAAAGGGTAGACACAGTGCCATCTATCTAATCATGTTAATTCTAGGAAACTGGGTCTTGCCTAGGCTCAGAGGAAGACTTTAAGAAACATCTGCTATTTCAAGGTGCATGTCTCCCACATCAGACCAGCAGCAAAATTGCTTCCATTAATGTCAAATACAGTTCTACTGCTAGTGCTACACCTATGTATGGGGGTGGGGAGGACATGGATGGTGTTGACCAGGATGTTTGGCACTTCAGGGGTGGTAGGCTATTTCATTCAGTACTCTCCTCAATCTTAAAAGACAGGTGCTTTATTTGTCTCTCATAAGTGAGGAAACAAGCTCCAGAGAGCTGAAGCCACCTATTCAAGAAGACGAAGTTCCCCCCAATAGAGACAGGACTGAAGCTATGCTCTGAGGGAACTGCCCTCTACCACCCACATGCCTCAATCCATCCTGCTGAAGACCTGGAGCCTGAAAACAAGCCCACTGAGAGTGCCAACTTCAGCATCATCAGCTTACAATGGCATTATTTCTTCTGATTTCATCTCATTGGACATTTACAACAATCTCTACTGGGTTAATTCCTTTTGTTCACATTCTTTGAGGATGGAACACGTGTCCACGGTCAGCCCCAGAGGCCTGCTAAATCAAACTATCGCTTCCTAGGAACTCTGACCATGTGCAGAGATTTTAGAGTACAAGCATCCTAGCTACCAAGTGGGTTTCCCAGCCTACCCAGAACTGGCCACCCAGCAGCATGTCCTGAGCTTACCACCCCTTTCTGCTTACCACCCCTTTCTCTTCCTTCCTTCCTTCCTTCCTTCCTTCCCTCCCTCCCTCCTTCCCTCCCTCCCTCCCTCCCTCCCTCTGATTTCTCTCCCTTCCTCCTTGTCTCTCCATCTCAAACAAATAAATGTATTCACAGGAAGGATAAGGTTAAGAAATCTGTTGCCCCTTTGCTGTGCAGTCTTGGTCAAGTCAATTGCTCTTTCTGGGTTTCAGTTTTTTCATCTGTAAAACACTCAGAATTCTGGGCTACATGACCTCTCAAGTCCCCACCAGCCAGGGCATCTCTGATCGTAGTCGCTCAATGAAACATCAGGGAGTGGGTATTCTTGGCCGATTTTCCCCTCCAACTTGCACTGATCTGAGCAAATCGCTTCAGGGAGGCTGAGGAAATGGCCCTGGGCTGCCTTTCATTGTGAGGAGAAGCTGCAGTCTTCAGGTGGGTGGGCAAGGGGTGCAGCGACACAGGCTGAGCTGGCCCCCCTGGAAAGCTGTGCCAGGCTCTGTTCCACTGTGGCCACGCAGCGGGAGGAGGGCCACGGCCTGCTCAGCTCACATGGTGTTATCTGGTAAATGCGCATAGGGAGGGGAGCTGGGAGCTTTGCACCAGTGGTTAATTTCTTTTATATCACAAATGCAATTTAAAACCATAGAGCATTTGGGAGACAGATGTTAGAAAACAAATATTACCTCATATCACATCGTCTTAATTCTCTTACTGTTAACTAATGATTTGGTTTTCCTCATAGTCTTTGTTCATTTGAATGATTTTTTTTAGATTTCTTTTTATTTATTTATTTATTTTTATTGGAAAGGTGGATATACAGAGAGGAGAGACAGAGAGGAAGATTTTCCATCCACTGATTCACTCCCCAGGCGGCCACAACGGCTGGAACTGAGCCAATCCGAAGCCAGGAGCCTCTTCCGGGTCTCCCACGCGGGTGCAGGGTCCCAAAGCTTTGGGCCGTCCTCGACTGCTTTTCCAGGCCACAGGCAGGGAGCTGGATGGGAAGTGGGGCTGCCGGGATTAGAACTGGCGCCCATATGGGATCCCGGGCGTACAAGATGAGGACCTTAACCACTGCGCCACCGCGCCAGGGCCCTCATTTGAATGATTTACATAGCTAAATAAGTTTGTATCTTCTTGGTTTGCTTCTTGATCATTTTTGGTGGGAATTTTTACTTCACATTGTCCTATGGCCAGGTGTTGTGGTGCCAGTGGTTAAACTACCACAGAGGTCACCGCATCCCACACGAAAGTTTTTGGTTTGAGTTCCAGCTACCTTGTGCTTCTAATCCAGCTTCTTGTTAACATACCTGGCAGGCAGCTGACAACTCAAATACCTGGATCCTACCACCTCTGGGAGACCAGGATGGGATTCCAGACTTGGGACTTTGACCTGGCTGGGTGCTGTGAGCCTTTTGGAGAATGGATCAATTGATGAAAGATTCTTTCTTTCTTTCTTTCTTTCTTTCTTTCTTTCTTTCTTTCTTTCTTTCTTTCTTTCTTTCTTTCGTTCGTTCTTTCTTTCTTTCTTTCTTTCGTTCTTTCTTTCTTTCTTTCTTTCTTTCTTTCTTTCTTTCTTTCTTTCTCTCTCTCTCTCTCTCTCTCTCCCCACACACACACACCACTGCCTTTCAAATGAAAGCCTATTTTTTTTAAAGATTGTGTTATAATCTTTGCAATCATCAAATATAATCATGTGTGTTTCTTTTGTTCTTTTCATTCCATTTGCCTATCTGTTGGTTTTTACGGTATTAATTTTCCTTTCATTATTTAAAAATATATGAGACAAGTTTTCCTCTCCTTGCACACACATGTCTATATGTGTGTTCACACGCTTATGTGTTTCTAAGAGACCAGAGTCCCCAGAATGGACTTTCTACTTCTAATGATTTGCTATTGTTTGAACTATAGGGCCCTGTTCCCAAACTGCTTTCCAAAAGGGCCTCACTGGTTACAGTCCCGTCAGCAATTACCCATTTCACTGCATTTTCACAAGAATTGGTCACTATCCCTTTGAGATTTACTAGGCCAAACAGTATCTGCTTTTCAGTTACCATGTCACTGGTCAACTGAAGAAGTCGGTCATGTCCCCATAGCTCCATTTCTCCGCTAAGGACAAGGTGACTTCCAGGGATCGTCCCAACTCCAGTCTTGAACCTATCAAGTCTTGGAGCCTCCAAGAAAGCAAGTGAATAGCACAAGATGATGGGGGTCAGAAAGGAAGCTACAGGGAGACACAAATATCCTCTTTAAGGGTAAGGATGGAGGCAGAGTAGAAAGTCTGGTATCAATGAAACACCCCAGGAGTGACTGTGGTCAGATTTAGGAGGACACCTCCCTCTGCTCACCTGTTGGTAGCCCTGGTTATGTGTGATGAGAATGATGCAAGTTGTTCTCACTCCTGGGATTGAAAAGAACAAGTGAGCGCTCATCCAGGAGTGAAGGGTCACCTAATGCTGGTGTGATTTGCCCTGGGTCCTTGCTTTAAGGCCGCATGTAGGAAGTGAGACTGAAACTTTCTTCAATTGCACTTTGAGTTGGTTCAGAAGAAGATGTCTCCCCAGTAATCAAGCCTTTTGGGGAAGCAGAGTTATATTATAATGGATCTAGTCAACTCACTGAACCAATCAAAGGCCTTCAAAAACCCGGAGGTATACCAGTTCCTCATGAGATGGTTCCTCTTCCCTTTGGTAAACTTACTTCAATTTCTCCCATGTGTCTTCACCAAATTTCTCTATCACAAGAGACTGCAGACAGGTGTTGATAAATCCATACTGGAACACAAAGATGGAAGAAAAATGTATAAGGAGGGATGCAATTCCAGCTTTAGACATCTTAATGGGAAGTTAGTGACGCACTTTTCCTTGCTTCTCACAGCTCTGTTATCTAGCAGCTGCACCCTTTCCTAACTCGGGAAAAACCTTGCAGTCCGCCACTTGAGAGAACATACCAACTAAGTGTGAGATCAGACTACTGGTGCAAGAAGGCAACGAAAGAAGAGAGAACTGATTGCTTAGAAAGAAGAGTCCAAAAACACAACAGTGGATAAGCAACTGTTTAAATGTGGAACTGACTTTGGGCCAATTCCAGCAAGGCAATAGAAGGACAAATCATTTCACCACTCCCCTGTATGTCCATGTCCAGGTTCGAGTCCCAGCTCCTGGAAGGCAAGAAGTGATGGCTCCAGCCACTGGCTCCCTGCCACCCCAGCTTCCACAGCCCCAGGTTCCTGAACGTGGGGCAACTGAATCATGTCGGAAACATCAGGAGTGCTGAGCTTCCCAAAGATTCCTTGCTAAAATGAAGACTCCCTTTGACTCACTTATGTCAGTCACAGGGTCTGTTGTGCAAGCCTAGACTTGCAGATTCCTGAGCAAGAAAGATCCTGGCACCAGCGGGCAGGTGAGGGGATAACCCCAGCGGCTCTTTCCTAGAAACAGGCACATGTGTCCTGGCAGCGTCACCCTCACCCCAATCCTACCTTTTCCTGATTGTATTCACACGCTGTGTGCACCTTAGAGCTATGTAACTGCGGGAAAACTGCTTAATCTCTCTGTGCTCAGGCTGCCCTTAGACTGACCGAAAATAATGGTGCTGGTTAAACTGCAGGGCTGTTGAGGTCTATAGCGGGCAGGGGAGGGGTTCTGCAGTCAGACCCTCAGTTCTAATTGCTGACCCCAAGTTTTCCATCCAATCCCATGGAGTTTGTTAAGCGATCAGTGACAGAGCTGGAATGGCCACAGGGCACACAGTGAGTGCCCCAGGACCCGTGGGCATGTGTCTTGGGTGTCCTGTGCACTGCACCTAAGAGGCACTCAATAAATGGCACAGCAGGGAAGCCGGGATAGGACACCACAAAGAGCGCTGCTTACCATGTTGCCGTAGGGTCTTGGGTCTTCCGCTCGGTGGCGATGCAGTGGGTCCTGTCCGCCAAGTGCCCCAGGCCTTCACGGAGCCTCCGCAGCATCTCAGGGAGCCCGACTTGTGCAGGTCTGAGCGGTCTGCAGGGAAATCAGGGGCCAACTTCTGGCCTCCAGGTAAGGAACAAACCAGCTGAGCCCCGGGACCCCCTGGGGAGGAAACGGGCAAGGCCACCACTGCCAGGAGGTATCTGCTTTCCCGGACACGCAGCTCAGCGGCTCAACTCCCGGGAAGTGTGGCGTGAACCTGAAAGTTCTCCCCGAGGTGCCAGCACAACAGCCACCTCCCTGCCAACAAGGCTGCCCCGGGTGCCTGGCGCCAGCGGTGCTCTGCGTGGGCCGAGCTCTGAGGCAGGCTCTGCTGAGAGGGCTCTAATTAAACCACTGCGGAACTCTGCAGCATCAACCTGCTTTGCCCAGTGCTGGACCCTGGGAGGTTATAAGGTGGACTCCCCCGTGCTCCAGAGTCCTATCTGCCATTGCCTCGGCTTCCTTCCAGGCCCCGCGAGGCTGTGTGCCAGAGGCCTATCTCCTGGGTGTTGCTCGCTTGAGGAGGTGACAAGCCCAGCCACTAGCTGAGTCCTTTGAGAACCACTTGCTGCGGCGCTATAGACACTGACCTGGGGGCAACATGTTGAGTGGAAATAAACAAACACAATACAAGCAGGGCTGCCCTGAGCAGGGCAAGTGTGTGGCCAGGCAGACCTGCTCACGCCAGAGGTTCCACCGCCCTTCAGAGGAATTAATTAAGCTCTGAGAGGAATTAATAAAATTTAGGGGGAAGTCGTGGCCTGTGTCACGGTGTAGTAAGCTAAGCCTCTGCCTAGAGTGCTAGTATCCCACATGGACTCCGGTTCATGTCCCAACTGCCCCACTTCCCATCCAGCTCCCTGCTTGTGGCCTGGGAAAGCAGTAGAGGATGACCCAAAGCCTTGGGACCCTGCACCTGCGTGGGAGACCTGGAAGAGGCTCCTGATTTCAGATTTTCCTAGCTCCAGCTTCCCACTTCTACTTGGGAAGTGAGGGACTGAATGGAAGCTTTCTCTCGCTCTTGTTCTCTCCTTTTCTTTCTATAACTGTGTCTTTTCAATTAAAAAATGATTTTTTTAAGTAATGAAAAATGAAACTAGAAAGAGAAACTATTCTAGTGCAAAAATTGTGTCATCCCTCCACGGATTTGTAGTAATCCACATTTCTATGAGTTCTTTGGAGTCATCGCCAGGGTGGATTTGAATACTTTTGCACCAAAATCAAGACCTTCAATTCTATCTTCCATGGAACTTGTTGGGAATCTCACAGGGCACCCAGTCTGTGGTTCAGCCCCTGCTTCTCCTAAGGGTGGAGGCTCTCCGGGTCTTGGAGCTGGGCTCCGCGCGCTGCCCCAGTGTGGAAGGCCATGTGCTTAGCACTGAGGGGGAAAGCTCTGGGTAGATGATTTCCATAATCACGCTTGCCAAGCCCTTGCCACCATTCAGCCAAAGCCCCTGTCTGTCTTGCCAAGTGGGCTTGTTCTGGCACTTGCTCACTCTTGTTCACTTGCGTGCTCTCTCTCTCCTGACACCCTCAACCCCAATTTTGCTTTTTCAAGTACACACACACACACACACACACACACACACGCACACACACGCACAGAGGCACTCTCACATCTTACAATAAGTAAATGGTTATAAAAAAATCTCCCTTTTCTTTTTAGGCAGCAGATGGTGGGTCTCAGGAACCTGGTGGAAATGAGGCATTCTGATTTTCTAATAAATTTTAGCATCTCACACAAAAAGCTCCAGCTCATTCAGATTCTGATGTGAAGTGTCGCTCAGCTTGCCATCGTGGAGGCAATTCTCTGCTCTCACCAGGAGCCCTGGGTGCAGAGGCGCTGGATGCATTCTGGGGTGAATGGCAGCGTTTGGTCATCACCCCCATATGGCAGCAAAGCCACTGGCCTCTTGCATGGCATGTGCTCGTTTTTAGTGCCCCTTTTGGATCTGAACTGAGTAGGTGTGTGCCCCTTGACAAACACACACACCTGTGACACCGACACCCATAGGAGGACAGGACATCCGATGTGGCAGAGGTTCCCTGTCCACCCAGCCCTGTCATCCCTAGCTGCCCTTTTTCTGGTTACTGTCATTGGACGTGCATTCTTGCTCTTGAACTTCATATGCTTGCAGCATTCAGTATGTTGATCACCGCCGCCTCCGGCTTCTGAACTTTCGTCTCCTGTGTTATGTGCAGATGTGTGAGCATACGGGTCCCTAAGTTAGACAGAGCTGTGCACATGCCCTCCTGTGGAACAGTTCTGTGACTCACAGTGACAGCTCATAGAGACAGCTCACAAACCTTTCCTTTCCCACAGAAAAGCTGCCCTGCGGGAGGTCACCAGAGCTCACCTCTCTTGCTTAAGACAAGAAAGGGAAAGAGAGAGAGAGAGAGAGAGAGAGAGAGAGCAGTCAGAGTATCAGGCAGAAATCCCAGCTCTGGCTTTCCTTTGTGTGTTTTTGCACTTCTTGGAATGCAGCTGCATCTGTCTGCCTCCCCCATCTCCCTGACTCCCAATCAGACCCTACGCCAGCACAGGAAAGTGTCCCAGGACACCAGGACACCAGGTGGGGTGTAGTCAACCTGTGATACCCCCAGAATTTCTTCTGATAAGCAAGGGCCTGCCAGGTGTCTACCAGGTTTGGAAACAACTGCCACATTAACAATGTTATCTGTGTCTCTGGCCCATCATTAGGGCGTTGGAGGATCCATAGGCTGCTTCAAAAAGTTTGTGGAAATGTGACACTCTAATTTATTTCTACTGCAAAAAACTTTGAGGGGCAAGCATTGGGTCAGGGGTTAAATGTCTGCTTCCCATGTAAGAGTCATAAGGTTCAAGTCCCAGCTCTGATTCTGTTGTAACTGCCCACTGTCGTGCACCCTGTAAGGACACCTGTGATGACTTAAATGCATGGGTCCCTGCCACCCACGCACACTGGAGACCAGGAGGGAGTTCCAGGCTCTTGGGTTCATCATGGATCAGGCAGGAATGATGCAGGCATTCGGGGCAAGAGCCCACAGGTGGCAAATATTCTGGTTCTCTCAGCCTTTCCAATAAATAAAATGAATAATAAGTAGTTTAAAAAATCATCAAAAATTGAAAATCAGGCACAGCTTTCCCATAGTGTGCATTTTCCATGAAGTTTTAGAAGTACCTCCACATAGTAGGTTATACATGTCAGTGTGCGGGCACCAGAGAGCTGGGGGAGACACATTTCCATGTAGGTTCAAGGCACAGGGAGGGCATTGAGAGGCAAGCACTGTCAATGGAGAGTCCCATCGCTCAGAAGACATGGGAGAAAGGGCTGCTGAGCTATTCAGCATTGCTTGTGTTGCAGGCAGCACTGGCTGACCGTGACCTTCCTCCACGGTGGGAGAAAGAGGAGAGATGGTATAGGGTTGGAATGACTTGGCTACAGGAAATGCTGTGACCAAGAACCAGATTTCTTTCAGGCATATTTGCAGATTTGGAGCTTTAGGGTGCAAACACCACAGGGTCTCTTCATGGTAAGAATCTTTCAGAATTCATTTCCAGAAGATACAACTGCTGATTGTCCTCTATGCATATAGTCCTGCCTATAGTGATAATAATGGTTTTCTTTAACCGATATCACATAGTATCTGGCACAAGGCACTTTACACATTGTAGGATAAGCCAGAGACAACTTTTATGAGTCTAAGGTTACAGGCTATTGGCAATTGCATTTGTTCTGCTTACTATTAATTTATCATGATCTTATAAAGTAGGTCCCATTGCTATCAATCCCTTTTGAGACAAGGGCATTACAGTAATGAAAAGTCATTTCCTTGAGGTTCCAGAACCACTCAATAGTGCCAGAGCTGGTGTCCAGGTACACACAAATGAAAATGGCAGGTGGGGACGGGGATGGTACTGATTTCTCTCTTTTTCTGAGAAAATCTGAGGCCTATCTTGGAGTCAGATGAAATCTTCAGGAAAATCTGTTTCCAAAAAAGTGAGCCCACTTTTCTACCCTGGCCCCTAGGAGGAAGATGACATTTTTGGTTTGTGCACGGAGGTGGGTTCTGTGTGTGTGAGAAAGACCGGAATACTGCCTGCCCAGTGAGGGACTGTGGGCCTCCTGGCTTCAAAACAGAACGTTAGAACTAAGGAAGACAGTGAGCAGGCAGCACTCCTGCAGAGTGCCAACAGCTAAGGACTGCACCTTGGCTCCCCCATGGCCAGCAGTCCCCCCCTTGCTGGCAGCTGTATGTTTTAGCAACCAGAGCATATGCCTTTGAATTTTAAATACACAAGGAAACCCGAAGATAGCTGGGCGTGTGGCGCCATCGTGTGGCCATACAACAGAAGGAAGGCATGGAGGTTGTACTTCGGGGCTTTGAAGAATTAGGGACTCCACCTGGAGACTGGGACCTGGGTCTTAACATAATTTACATTAGTCTTGGGAAAATGCCCCTCTGTGTAAGATGGGGCTCTCCAAGTGTGGCTGTCCAGAAATCGTGGTTGCTTTACATGCTACCTGTGGAAGCATGAGATTGAAGGCAGTGGATTCACTCACATTGAGGGGCTGTTGAAGCCCAAATCCAGCCATTTCCAAAACTAACCTAATCATGGGGCAGCTGTTATGGCATAGTGGGTTGAGTTGCCCCCTTGGAGGGCCCTCACCCCATATCAGAGTGTGTGGTGCTAGTTCCAGCTGCCCTGCTTCCAGTTCAGCTTGCTGCTGCACATAATGGGAGGCAGCTGGTGATGACCCAAGTGCTTGGGTCTCACGACCCACGTGGAAAACCCCGGTGGAGTTCCTGGCTCTTGGCTTTGAGCTGGCCTGGCCCTGGCTGATGCAGGCACTGAGGGAGTGAACCAGTAAATGCAAAGGAGCTTTCTCTTCTCTGATTTTCTCGTCTTTGTCTTCTTTCTTCTCCTCCACCTCCCCCTTCTTTCTCTCCTCCTTCTTCTTCTCCTTTTTCTTCCGTCTTTGTCACTTTTCTCTCCCTGTAATTCTGACTTTCAAACAAATACATAAATCTTTTT